GGACCTGTGGCTGTCTCCTGGTGGGTGGCTGACGGCCACAGGGCTCGGGCCCAGCCCTGACTGGAGCTGGTGGCCACGGCAGGCACTACCTGGGGGACCGGCTCCTGACACAAGGGCCATCTTGGCTGGAAGGAGGCATCGTGGAGCAGATCGGGCTGTGCTTCCCCAGCCGCTTTCCCCAAGATATGCTGAGCAACTTGGCTGAGTCGGAGGAGCTCCAGCGGCAGTTCTGCCTCTTCCAGCTGCAGGAGCAGGACAAGCGGCTGCTGGAGCTGGACACGGGCCCGGATGAGGTGAGCGGGATGGGGGCGTGGGGAGGCTGGAGGCTGCCGGCTTTCCTGGTGGGATCCCGGAGCCTGACTTGAGCTGCCCTCGTGCCCCTGTGCCCAGGTGCTGGGACCAGCCGCAGTGGCAGACGTGCCAGAGGTGAAGGTGCTGGCCCTGTCCCCGCGCTGCTGGCCCGTTTCCCCGCTCTGTTACATGGAGAACCCTGGGAGGTTTTTCCCGGCGGTGCTGAGCTCCCCACTGGATGAGTTTGCTGACTTCTGCCGGCAGAGTGAGTGCTGTGGCCGGGGGTGTGCCCAGACCCTCGAGGGCAGCTCAGGCACAAGTGGTGGTGGGCTGGGAGTGCCTGGCAGGGCTGGTCCCCGTCCCTGTCCCTGACACTGTCCCCGGCAGGCCAGAGCCAGCTGGGCTGGGAGTGCACGAAGCCCCGTCGGCTGCAGTGGACGTGGCTGGGCCACGCCGAGCTGCAGTATGGAGACTGCGTCCTGCACGTGTCCACGCTGCAGATGTACATCCTGCTGTGCTTCAACAGCGCCCAGGTAGGGGCTGGAGCCATGGTGGGGCCAGGGAGGCGGTGGAGGCTGGGGCGTGGCAGGGCCGTGTCCTCCCTTGCCTTCATGTTGGATCTCCAGCGGTGTTTGGGGCACGGGACCCCGTTCTTAGGCAGGGCCAGTGACTCTTGGCCATTGCCCTCCCACCCTGTGCTGCAGGAGGTGGCTGTGGAGGCCCTGCTGCAGGCTACGGGGCTCCCTGCTGACCTGGTGCACCACGCACTGACCCCGCTGACCCACGGCCAGGGCGTCCTGGTGGGGAGCTGCACTCCAGGGGGTGAGCACGGGGCTGGGGCACCCAGGGCAGGGGCTGGCCTGAACCCCGTGGGCTTAGGGTGCAGGAGCTGGTAGGGCTGGTCAGGGGGCTGGGTCCACGTGTTGGTGCTCGGGGCACAGGTGTGTGTGTCAGGGTGGGGCCTGAGGCCAGTGCAGGGCTGGGGGTGATGTGTGGGGTGGGGCTGGGGACATGCAGGGGGCCTGGGTCAGCATGGCTGGGTGGGTGGGT